TATCTAAATATTTTATAAAATGTGGTGATTTCTTGGTTGTATCAATTGCATAAGTTTTAATCCTTTTGAAACCCTTTATATAAGAACACAAAATTTCTTTGTGTTTTGCTTGCATTCCCCCCTGAAAACGTTAAAAACAGTAAAAGTGTAGGGGTATGAACTCATAGTTGATTATGTGTATGTGTCGGACGGCGAGACTGGAAAGATGACCCTTGAGTTGTTGTACGTGGAATTAACAGAATCCTAATGATAATTAAACACATAATTGTATTTAAATTAGCGAATCCATTAATTAAAGTGTCATAAAACACTTGTTTTTGGGTTAGGAATGTTACCGAGACTTGTATTTGTGGAAAACGAGGGTTTGTAGCCAAGGTTCACGGCTCAAGACTGTTTGCGGTCGTGAACGGTTTGCGGTTGAGAATGGTTTTCAGTTGTGAACAGTTTTCGGCTGTAAACGGTTTGCAGCCTTTGAAGATTTGAAGGCTGTTCTTGGTGTTCGTGGTGTTCTTGGTGTTCTTGAGGAATAACTTGAAGATTTGAAGGTTTGATCTTGATGATTTGAATGTTCTTGGGAGGTTCTTGGGAGCACTTGGAGAGGATTTTTTAGTGAAAAAGATGAAAAATGAGGAATCTCTCCGGGAAAAACTTATATATCTGCTGGGTTTACGGTCGGAAACGGGTTTACGGCCGAAAATAGGTTTACGGCCGTAAACACTTGGCTGACGATTTTTGCTGATTTTTCGAAGGAAACTGGATTTTTCGAGTGTTTTTGGTTCCGAAAGCTTTTATAAACTTTATTTATATATTTTAGATTATTTCCTAACCCACAAGAGCTTGACGGAATAAACAAAATTCGACATTTTATTTAACGAAATTTGACTTTTGTTGACTAGAAAGTATCGGGTTGTCACAAGCTTGTTCATGAAGGATTTTATTGATTATTTACAACAATAATCGGAAGGTATGTAAACCCTAATCCCTTTGTTAATTTTGATAATAATAGGGTTTTCCTAGGGTTCTTTGATGTTCATAGATTATAGTTATCAATAGAGAAAACTTAGATTCAAATAGGTTGTTTGTGAACTTAAGGGTTAAGTTTTTCTGCCACATGATTTTTTTAATATAACCTATAAAACCTATCAGTTCCAGCTTTGTGCGGAAATCCAAGATGCGACCAGACCAGCTTTATGTTGAAGGCCAAATGGTGAGTTGATGACAAGATCAACATTAAGTGTTGGGAGTCTAGAAACTTACAAGGGGCAAGTTGATGTCAAGAACAACTAGAGTGTTGTGAGCCTAGACACTCGACGTTGTTTGGGTGAATCGGTTCTAGTACCAAGAGCCTTGTTTGCATGCTTGTATGTTTATTGTTGTATATGGAATTTTGGGGAACTCACTAAGATTTGACTTACAGTTGTGGATTAAATGTTTCAGGTACTTTTGATGATCGTGGGAAGGTGAATGTTTGACTATACACCATCATCAATAGCTTTCGTGTTTTGTGATCATACTCTGATTTTTTTGAATGATTGTGTTTTGGAACATATGATTTTCATTGACTTGTGTTTTATGAAAATAGTATTTTATCTTAATGAAAAACGAAAAATTTTATTGTGAAAAATGGGACGTTACAATTTGCGTTTCAATTGGGGGTGTTATGTGGTTGGTCCGATTGAAATTGGATTTGTTATGGCAATGGGTTGACGTTTGGTGGAAACGCTTGTTGTGACATTTAGACTTGTGAATGGTAGCTAGGAACACCACTTACAAACATTTGGTTTTAAGAGTAAATTGATATCGATTTGTGGCCAGTAAGGTGGTGGTGATGACGGATCGTAACCGAAGAGTGCATATGGGTTTGAAACATTTAGGTTGGAAGAGTCGGGAACATTTAGGTTATTGGAAAACATTTTGAGAGTAAAATGTTTGTTATTTGTGTAGATTAATTGGTAAAAATGTGTGTATGTATAGTGGTTATATAGTAAATATATAAGAAAAAAGAAAAATTGAAACACGCTCCCACGGACAAAAGCCAACGGCTTATATGCCCTCCAACAATCCAATTTTTGAACGGCGGAAGGTTGCCTATAGCATAATGCCGTCGGCGAAAATTCTATCAGGGTGTGGTGCTTAACGCTGACGAACTCGTCCACGTCGACTTGCTATCCGCAAAATTGTCACGCCACCGTGCAGTCTAATAAATTGATTTGATTCGCTCAAATAACAATTTCATAGAAATATACAGAGAATATCTTAATCTATAACCTTACACACTAATATATACATCCCATGTTAAAGTGTGGAGCCTCCTCGCATCCTGAATTCTCCTTGACGTGGAGAGGTGTGATGCTGATGTAGTGGCTTATTGGTCTGGCCTTACCCACAGTGTACCACTCATTTTCTTCTTCTTTCTCCTCCCCTCTCTTATGGTGGAGAGTGCATGATGATGTTTATACGATTATATCTTATAGACTAATACGATCATTTGTGAAGCAAACTTCTTAAATCATTGGACTCCATAAATACTAGCAGTTCCTAATGATATACGAAGATGTCACAGTAATTACGATAATTTCTATGACGATGAAGATTTCTTGACCTCGGTCAATTTTGCATCAATGGCCAAATTGAATTCTTCCGCAATTATAACTCATATGTATTAAGGTTCTGGACTCAAGATGTCATCAACACCTATTTACCTTTCTGGAAACTTTGAAAAAATATTCACAATGCGATAAGGGTGGCCGATATAGAATTTTGATGGAAATATCTATTACTATATAACGACAACGAAATCAATGAGCGTGTTAAAGATTACAGGAAATAATAAAATGGAATACACAGGTCTTCATCATTTTACATATAACGACAACGAAATGAATGACGTTTCTCCATTTTTGACTCCCTATAAAACTGAAATCAAAATCAGCCGTTAAAGCATACAATCACAAGACAACAACATCATCTTCAACTATGGATGTGTCTTATCTATTTGTTTCCTTCCTACTGATTCTAACTTCCTACCTCTTCAAATCCTTCTTCCGTCGCAAGTTCTCCAACCTTCCGCCCACCGTCTTCCCGTCACTTCCCATAATCGGCCACCTTTACCTTCTGAAACCACCACTTTACAGAACCTTCGCGAAAATCTCCGCCAAATACGGCCCCATTGTCTATCTCCAGTTGGGCTTCCGCCGTGTCGTGGTGATTTCCTCACCTCCCCTCGTCGAAGAATGTTTCACCAAGAATGACGTCATCCTTGCCAACCGCCCTAAGATGCTATTCGGCAAAATCATCGGCTTCAATTACACTAGTTTGGTATGGGCGCCATATGGCGACAACTGGCGCAACCTCCGTCGCATTGCAGCCATCGAGATCCTATCCATCCATCGTCTCAACGAGTTTCACGACATACGAGCAGAAGAAGGAAGGTTGCTGATCCGTAAGTTGATGTCTAGTTCTTATCCGGTGACTATGAAGTTGGTTTTCTATGAGCTGACTTTGAATGTGATGATGAGGATGATTGCCGGGAAGAGGTACTTCGGTGGTGATAATCTCGAGTTGGAGGAAGAAGCGAACCGATTCAGGGAAATGCTAAACGAAACGTTTTTGCTCGCCGGAGCTTCAAACGTCGGAGATTACTTACCAATTTTAAGTTGGTTGGGAGTGAAGGAACTGGAGAAGAGGTTGATAGCATTACAGGAGAAAAGGGATGTTTTCTTTCAAGGATTAATCGAGGAAGTTCGAAGATCAAAAGGGAATGAAATGGGAAATAAGAGGAAAACGATGATGGAAGTTTTGTTATCCCTACAAGAATCTGATCCCGAGTACTACACTGATTCCTTGATCCGAAACTTTGTGCTGGTAAGAATATATAATCTGGTAATAATCGTTTCTTGTTTCTTGATTCTAAAAATCTCTGATTATATATCGTTTCCATGATCAGGCTTTATTAGCAGCTGGGAGTGATACTTCGGCTGGAACCATGGAATGGACCATGTCCCTTCTACTAAACCACCCGGAAGTTCTTAAAAAGGCACAGAACGAGATCGATCAAGTTGTCGGAAAAGATCGTCTTGTTGATGAATCAGACATATCGAATCTACCTTACCTTCGTTGTATCATAAACGAGACCCTTCGACTGAAACCTGCAGGACCTTTACTAGTTCCACACGAAGCATCAGAGGATTGTGTGATCGGAGGCTATAACATCCCTGGAGGGACTATGGTGCTTGTGAATCAATGGGCGATACATCATGACCCGAAAGTGTGGGCCGACCCGGAAACGTTCAACCCGGAAAGGCTTGAAGGTTTGGAAGGGACAAGAGATGGGTTTAAGTTGCTGCCGTTCGGGTATGGAAGGCGGAGTTGTCCGGGGGAAGGGTTGGCTGTGCGTCTTCTTGGGATGACTTTGGGGTCGATTATTCAGTGCTTTAACTGGGAAAGGATTAGTAAGGAGATGGTGGATATGAGTGAAGGCTCCGGGATTACCTTGCCCAAGGCTGTTCCATTGGTGGCCAAATGCAAACCGCGTCTAGAGATGGAGAATCTACTGTCGCAGCTGTGAGTCGATCGATTTAGAGACCTGTCGTTGATTTGAAACAAGTTGGTGATGGTGGTTTCGTCACTATTTTGGTCTTTCTCCGTTGACCAAATTCTTGTTTTTTCTTTCAGCCGAAAATCCCCTCCTCTGTTGGAAGACCTTCCCATGTGCACCCTAATCTTCACATGTCCAACGTGCAACTAATCACTGTCCAACTCTTATCGTTCAGAAAGTAGGTTTAGATCCCCATAATTAACTCCATGCTACATGCCTTCATCCCTTCATTTAATATACAAATTATGAAATCGTTGTTTGTAATTGAACAATTATTATGTGAGGTTGTTTACCACGTTCGTCGAAACCAATAAACAATAAATAAAAGTCATATAAAACGAGATGTCGATTCCCCAAAATCTATGTATAAATATATAGTAGATTATAAAAATATGATATAATTTGCTTCAATTATAATTCATTATAACAAAAAAAAAAATCATTATATTATATATACAATATAATTCCAGTGGTGGCTTATAAACAGTACCCATTTGGAGCTGAACACATTTCACCTCTCAGTTTCATACGTTTTCTTCACGCTTCCTCCTTACCGCCATTGTCTTCCAATCAGATGCTTAATTAGAGACCACCTGTTGTTCTGCATACGCTTAGTCATTTTTCTTCGGCTTCAGTTTGTAGTTGTTTGTAATGTCTTTTATGTAGTTATGCTTATTGAACTGTTATATTTTTTAAAAGGTAGTGGCATTTGGTGATTGTGGATTGAATTATAACATAACTCATTTCTGCCTGCTGAATTTTCAAAAGAGAAATGAATGTTCTGATTGTTGAAGAAATAAAAGTTTGATGGCTCATGGTTTTTTGAAATAAAACGTCAATTAGATGTGTTAAGTAGATGTGTTAAAGTCACTTCCAAGACTAGCAGAAAGCTATATCAAGTAGATGTGTTAAAGTCCCGGTATCAAGCTCTCCGTTAAGCTGCAATAATGGAATCCATATGATTTTTGAGTGCAGGTTGTTTATTTCAATTAAAAAGAAGAAAAAGAAATGAGACCCTAAAGCAGGGGCAGTTTGGTCACTAACAAACTTGAGTATCATTACAAACAAGCAAAGCAGTCAACATAACTTGCTTTTATTAAGAGAATCCTGATGATGTTGCAATAGAAGAAACTGTATATAGGGGCAATTTGGTCACAAACTGTTAAACCATGGGCAGATTGATTTTGTGCGAATAAAGGGGCGGTTTTTATCAGTCAATTTATCCATTAACACCACCTTAATTGACTATTAAAATCAATGTTGTGGAAATTGATTTCACAAAAGATGCCCTGTCCAATAATTTTTTATTCACCCTAAAACATCAAAAAAGGTAAACTCTAACTGCATTATAGTTCAACACTAGAACATTAAAAACGAAATTTTTGTTTCGATTATGGTGGAGATATACCTAGTGCTTAAATGAATTTTGTTGGCGGTGCTTCTTCTCTCCTGATGGTCTCTTAGTCATACTATATCGAGGATGATTAATCAAGCTCATACTTGATAATCATACATAAATGCATCTCTATGTTTTCTATTAGTTTCCGATCAGCTGTTGAATAGGTTCAACAACTGTTGAAAAAACTTGCTAGTTCCAACTATGATGAATTTAATTTATGGTTCTTTAGCTCTTTAAGTTACACATTTCTCCCACATAGAAAAAGAACTTTCTAAGTAAATGTCTTCTGGAATGACAATCAATAGGATTGTCGAAACTTCATCCTAAACAATCATTTAGGATAGTTTACAAAAATATAATTAGCATATGATAGAGAGAGTTAAGCTTATTGTCTAACATAAGCTCCATAACTCTATACCTTTTAGATAAGGAAAGAACATTTCATCCTTAGTCTAATAAAAGTATTCAGTCTACTTGTTTGGTTGGAAATATATACGTTCGATATATATTTGTTGTAGTGAGCATAACTCCAAAAATTATATAAAGGAAATAGTTTTTTACAAAACATCATATAGCAGACTGTAAGGTCTGATTTATCCTTTTCAAAAATTTATACCATCGACATTCAACCAGTGGCTAGGTGTAACTATCCCACTAGAGAACACAAAAGCTACCTCAGACATCATAAGACAAATCCAAGCGACCAGGTGATCATGTGCCACAAGAACTATACAAATAACGAGTGAGTGTTTTTGACAGAATGAGTTGTGAACCGATTCCACAACTCCTAAGATATTCCAAGAAGAATTGGTTTATAAAACCCATTTTCTTTATCACAATGAAAGTTTAATGATGGTCTCATTAAGTTGTATTTCAATCTTCACTATGAAACAATTTTGAGCAAATCAAAAGTTTCAAAAATAACGAATAAAAGTCATCAGTCCTATTCATGGATTGAAAATATTACATACATTACTTTGTATAATTCTTTTCCAAGCTTTTGTACTTTACCACTAATAAATAAAGACATTTGTGAATCATCTTCCAATATAAATAGGATTCATATGTATATCAAATGAATCAAGCTCATTTGCCTTCAAAATTCCATCTTTTGATGTTTGTATACGTGTTTCATTTTTACATATTCAGCATGATAATGACATAGATAAGTTAAAATCAAATATCATTTGATTATATTGGTTTTCGCTTTAGAACTATTAATTTAATGAAAACTTATAAATTTACTTCATAAATAACATTATAATAAAATATTCTTGATATAGAATACATCGTTTTGGAACATAAATTTAAACATCCATTAAGCGATAAGTAAATCTATATTTATTCAAAATTTTCAAATGTTACATGTTCCTATAAGAATATGTACAAAACATCTACTATTCAAATACACACTATATGGTCATCAAAAAGCTCCAGCAATATCAATAACAACAAGTGTTATATCTTCAGCATGGAATACCATTTATATGTAATCAGTTGTTTATTTATTCCAAAACATGAGCACATAATATCAATTATTAATGTCACATGTAGTATAAAAAACTCAAGTGAATGAAGGAAAAATAAATAGTTCTATCATAAAGATACTTGAAGTGTTGGTCATGCCAGACTTCCTCAGCTTGGTGAGATAAGATGAGCAGTTCCTCTTTCAGTGTCCAGTTTTTCCACAATAGAAACAACACCGATCATTTTGGCCCTTTCTTGATTTCTTGGGTGTATGTTGTATTTCTCTCAACTGAACTATAAGTCTATTTGAGTACACGATCTCTTAGATCTTCCTTTTTTTTAATGTTTGAACATGTTTGAAGCACATTCTACCGTTCTGATTGAATATTCATTTTACTTGGTGAGACATCTGATATGTTTCATAATTATCCAAGACCTTCTGCACGTTAAGGGAAATTATTCTAGTATGATGTGAGACACATCAACATCATCACAATAGTGCTTCCATCAAAGCATCATGATCAGACTGACTGATCTGTAGAGGTTGTTTAGGAATGAGATCTTTCAGTTTATATAATTTTTGTTTATCCTTGTATCCTATAACTCAATGCTTCATACCAATTATAGAAATTATAATCATAAAATGTTACCATCTCTTGAAACTTAATTATAGAAGTTTGTATGTGGTGTAAAAAAGTGATGCATATGATAAGTAAAAATGTCATATGTTGCACTTTGCGTAAAAATAATGTTGCACTTGATTAGTGTTACAATTATAAAATAAAGCCAACTTTATTGTAATTAGAACCAAAAAATAATGTTTTTTGTCGGTTGAATTTTTTTTAGATCAAATCTAAAAGCAACAACAAACTAGAGGAACTATTTTGTAGTTTTCTTTTGATTTTGTAGAAAAATTCTAATAATTACACTTAATAATAAATGTTCCTATTGAACTTGAGGTCTCACCATCAATAACAACTACAATAAGTTACATAAACAGGTCTATCTTTATGATTTCATTTTATCTCATTAAGATTTTTGACCCATATTTTTTTACCTTTATGTCATTTATTTTTTAAATTTTATTTTACATATTATTTATTTATCTAAATATTAAATAGAAATGTCATAGCAAGTCCACCCCTATCCTTAAACTTACCCCGTCATTATCTTTGTCTTCCTATTGCTCTCCTAGGCCTCAAACTAGGTTTAGGTTTCTGTGATGTTATCACACCACCATTGGAATAAATAATAATAAGTTGGTGACGAGCATAAGATACAACATGGATCTTGCTCACTAGATTTCCGACCACCACTAGATTTTGAACATTTTGATGTTGCTTGGATCTTTATCGCCGTATGTTGTTGATAGCCCTTTCTTGTTGCATAGTAGGCTTGCATTTTCTCAAAACATTTCCTTCCATCTCTTCAGTAGACTACACTTATAACATGGAAAAAGAAAAATAAAATGGAAAATGACACATTATCCCTACGATGTTTTGCACATTTTCCCATTCAGTCCCTTAAGTATTTTTTGAGCTTTCTAGATCATTAAAGTTGTTATTTTTTGGGTAAATTCGGACACTTTGGAAAAAATGATGGGTTAACCCGGTTACCCCTTTTCCACATAGACATTGACCTATTTTTCCTTGACAATGATTGTAACATCCCAAAAATCACAGTAAAAATTTTCATTTTTCAAAACCATTTTCATAAACCATAAGTTATACAAAACACTGTTTTCAAATCATAGCCATAAAAATCAGAGTGTCAAAATCTCTCAAAAAAATATCAGCAGAAGTGTTGGGTATTTTGTGTTGCGTCATGGGCTTTGTTTTTGTATATCCGGATTGGGCCTGTCCATCCGTGATTATTGATTAGGGTTAAGCTATATATATAGTGCATGCATGTATGCCTTAGATACAATTGTCATTATTATTATTATTGCTTTATAACCCTAAACACCTCTACAGTCGAAGTTCTTAATCGAGCTCTTCTGAGGTGTTAAAGCTTAATCATTCGACATCAGTTAAACCATTCTTGTGTTCTTTATTACTTTATTTATTGCTTTTCTGCTTATAATCAATCGATCCTACTAGAACTTTGTTCTAACAATTGGTATCAGAGCAGGAGACTGTGTGATCAATCCACAT